ATCCTAACAAGCTGCTTGCCCGGTCGTCGATATCGTGTCAAGGACCCGTTGACGTATTTTGCCGTCCACAGGTTAAAGATAGCCATCTGAAACCGTACTTGAGCAAAGTTTGCCAAGATTCTCAAATACAGTCCCTGTACTGTCTCTGCTCCTTTAAGAGGTTTACAGCAGATTAATTGCGACCTTATTTTGGCCCACACACTATTAGACTCTGGCGCACTAACTGAATTTACTCAGGACACTAGCGGATGATTGGATTAAATCGAAGAACGGCCTCAATAAAAAATGACCATTCTAAACTATCTAGAGACGGAATTGAAATTATAGATACAAATCGAAAACTTGTTCACTGACCTGCAAATTAACTTTTAGTTAAACGATCTAATAGATATAAGGTTAAGTAAAGACATTGACTGGAGGACGCTGAACCATAGAGCAAGGAACTTGCTCTATGGTTGAACCATGCACGCAGTAAGAGTGTCGAGGTACTTTAGAAGCCACACTTTTTGACAAGGTTGGAATGGACAGAACCATGTCAACCAGAAGATGACGCTGACAATTTGAAGTACGACACGACCTTGTCGAAAGAGCTCAAACGAACCCAGACATCTCAGCCTACTTCTCGTTAGTAATAAACCTTCTCACGCAGCGGGTTTAGAGTGATGTTCTGTTTGTTGAGTTGATTAGTAGTCCACCTGTTCGTGATGACTGTGGTCCCATTTGGTTGAACACAAAGCACCTGCGAGTTAATGTAATAATCGGAGGCAGAAAAACTCAGAAAAGCGTGTAGGGAATCTAAGGAGAGGGATGCTCCTCGAAGTTATTGAAAAGAACAGTTTGAACTTCCTATAGAACTCTTCGAGTCAACACTCCTTTGACACATTTTGGCGCCCCCTTCAAGTGCGGTGATGTGCACTTAGGCAACCTTCTTCGTGTATCAAATTTCATTTTGAAGCAGTTGAAACCTTATGACATTCACTTATCTAAAATAGTTATGACTTTAACATTTAATAGGGAAGTTATTTGTTGTTCAGACCTAAACAAATAAATGGAACAGCAGAGAATGCATAGGATAACGTCTTGTTCGAATCACAGACTCGCACAAACATATGGCTGCTATGTTGCTAAAGATATCCCGTGTTTACACTGATCGCAACACCCTCGTTGTGGGCGTGCGCCCCCCCCCCCCCCCCCGCCTGCACGTCCCTTGTGAGTATACGAAGATGCCAGTAGTTCGCGATGGTCGTCTTTATTTCCCCCTTCTCTTGTCTCCGTTCTTTTCTTCGTGGGTGTACCATTTCACTGGAATCATTTCAGAATCGAAAGAGAAATTGCGTTGCCTGGCCGTGCGATCGTATTACACATAAAGGACCGAAGATGGGCAGAGGTTTTTGTTATAGCACGATGGCCAATGTTAGTGTGCAAACCTTATTTGAGAGGTTCGTTGCGTGCGTGTATGATAGCCCCCCCCCTCCTCTTTGTAACAGATCTCGGTCGAGTAAATTTGTAGTTGGCGGGTTTTTATCTGTTGGCCTTCTGTCTCGTGGCTGGTTTATAAATGGCCAACAAAAGACGCCGGTATTTGTATTGTGGGCCAACGAAGAAAAAGAAGACACTTAGAAGAAGAAGATACAACAGTCAGGCCGTCAATTGATGAAATGATATGGGAAAATATTCACTAGAGATGGAAAGTGCCTGGAAAAACGCACTACGATGACAGCTCTTTTCGAAAACATGTTTATAGCTAACCAGAGCGCAAAATATGCTCAGAAAATAATGAACAGTTTGATTTCCTCAAATAACTATCACTCATGTGAAGTCGGGATACAGGAACGAAAATAATGGTAAAATACCAATATTACAACATATTTGAAACTGTTAGCAATAATTGATCTCAGCTTTATGAAGCTATAGAAAATAATTGTATAGCTTCGTGTGAACTCAGAATAGCAAGATTATATATTCGCGATCACGTGATACGGCAGGTGTTTCTGCCACTGTATCCTCTGCTTGCAGAAGCCTGGCTTCATTCTGACAAACGAAAGACCTGGACGTCATTTCCTGGAACATTCAGGGTCCGTAAATGTCTGGCTAGAATCCACAAGACGTGACCTGAGTTGAAATCAAAAAGGGCTATTGAATTAAAGACAGAAATGCAGAAAACAGACGTTGAGTAGGAAAATAAAAGAACATTGCATTTATTGAAACCATGAGGTGCCTTGCAAACTGGATCCCACTTTAATACGCTACTGTCCCGTGCAGCCAACACTAAGCTGATTTTCTCCCCTTGCATATCACTTAATGTGACCTGTAAGTAATGCCCCGTCAAATCAGATTACACCCGCGCAAATTCACAGGTAAGTTTCCAAAGATTCCCCCTAGCTTCAAGGGGAGTAGTGCCCTAGCATTTATCACAGGAGCTATCCCGTTGAACGTAGTGCACGAGGTTTGCTGGCTTGATCGAAACCCCTCCGGGGTCTTACAGGTAAAGATCATGGGGTCGTTCAGGCGAGAAGGGGGTAGAGAGACCTGTTCCCCACGGAGCCAGCTTGACCACTGCTGTTACCACAGTGCAGTTATCGGTCTTCAGTTCAACTGCTATCTTAGGTAGATAGCAGCGTCTTACCACCCGCGTTTGGATGTCGAGAAATGTCTGCAGTTATCTATAATTCACATAATAGTCACACACATTTGAAAACTCATATATTGACCAAGATTTCAAAGACGGTGATAGAAAGTCGATTTCCCACTCTAAATCAAATGATGAAGTCACAAACAACCGATTTCTTCAGGCAATGTAGACACTTACATGACGAGCTGTCTATGTCGGGTCTTTAAAAGCATTCAGTCCATCAAAGTTATGAAGTATCGGGGGTTTTTGGAATGGAAGTTATGAGACATCAAACTTGTACTTCTTTACCAAAATAAACTCCAATATGTTACCGTGAGGAACAACTTCAAGTAATTTAAAAAAAATTCTTAAGAGCTACTATTAAAGTTATAGCATGGATGATATAATACTTTACCCATAAGGCCTTCCACTTTACCCACAAATTACAATAAGGCGCTGACGAGTTAAGCTGTTCAAATAAAATGGCAAGATTGGAGAGATTTATCACTGCCGTAATGTGTACTCGAGGGGGAAATGTGCAGGTTGGATGTCACTCATTGAGGCGTGGTGTTTGACTGTTTCCCGGAGAGGAAATTGATTCCTCATCCTCTGTGGCCGATTACTGACAGCGTGGCAGGCATTTCCAATCAGTCTTGGTCAATTCTGAAATGTAACTCACACATCCTCACTCCTCAAAACCGATCATGCAAAGTAAATTCCACGCTAAACAAAAAGAAGGTACAATGTTTTCTTTTGATACGATCAAAAGAGAAGACATTTCTTTTGAAGTCGTCATCAATTCAGGCTGCCGTAGTCAAGCTACAAAGACATCCAGGAAGCCTTTAGGTGTTAAACTGTGCATTATGTATTGCGTTTCTGCTCTCGTACCGTTTCTTGCCTTTCTGTCGATTCTTTCCCCCTTTTGCGTTCCCCTGGGCTTTCTGCGAGACTACGGTGCACCATCGCATACCATTATCAATGCAACAAATTGACTACATTACGCCCCGTTAATACAAACGCGCAGTAAAATCGTGTTTGTGCAGGAGCTACTGAGCCTCGTGGGGATCTGCTTATGTTTCAGTTTTCGCGTCACTTGCACACAAAAAAAGCGCGGGGAAAAAGGATAGAATTGGTTACCTTTGACGACACGCGTGGAATATGTCACCGTTGGCAATGGTAATATATCTCTATATTCCATTGTAAAATGATGTGGTCCTACAGGTTCCCTTTCGGCTTCAAAGAATTTGTTTAACGCGTGTGACGCCATAGGAAGATTCCTCATCATCGTTGTAATAAAGTCATCATGACTTCTATAGGATCCCCCAAATCAATGCTAGGCTGTTTGTATAATTTGTGGATTGGGTTTTCAGTCCCTACCTGATTCCGTGGGTTTTCCCCAGAATATTCTTCTGGGCTTTTCCTCCCACCTCTAAAACTGTAACTTCTTCTCATTGTCTTCTCTCCACATGTTTCTTCAGGCTTGCGAGCTACAGTGCCTAGGGCGCTTTTGAAGAATCCTTGGTTTCATTACCAGAAATGATTAATAATAATAATAATAACAACTGAGTGCGCTCTTGCTGTGATGTCATTTCAGGAAGACACTGTTCAATTTAGGGGTTTTCTGTTCAAATTGTGAACTCAAAAATGTGTTCATTGAAAACATTTGAGAAAAATTGCTCATTAAGCTTACTGCCATGTGGACAACAACGAATCATCAAAAAAAGAAAATTTACAACAGCAAAATATTCAAAATTATGGCAACTTTTGGTGTTGAAATAGTTGTAACATTTAGGCTTCTGCCAGAAATGTCACACTTTTGCTCCTGAATATGGAACTTCGCATCAGCATAAAAACCAAAAAGGCACCAAAATACCCTTGAAAATGGCAAAACGAAAATAGAAAATAAGGTTAAATGGGACACCAAGGTTCATTCTCAGGCACTGCATTAAAAAAGCTACTTAACATGGGCATGGGCCCTTTAAAGTCTGCTTCAATTATTCTGTTCGAACTTCATGTGATAAGATACCGGCGGCTTATATTAACATTACCGCTTTCCATCTTGAGGCGGCATACATGTATTGAACTTACAAAGGACATGGTAACAAAACCTCGTATTCAGTTTATACCTTAAGCTTAAGTGCTTCGTGGAATCACTCCGTCTTCAAACTAGACAACAGTTTGGTTTTACGCTATGTGCCCGCACATCTCGCAAGTCGGGAGATTCTACAAGCCCCTTATTATCAAACGACAGGTTAAGAAATATGGGCCATACAATGCGAACTGTTCAAATCCCAACTTTTTTACATTGTGCCATATCCTTAGCTGTCCTCGATGTTTCAATGATATTTTAAAATTAATTTTAAAGTCCGGGTTTTTTTCCTCGTTTCAGATGGCTCTAGTACGGCAAACGTTACGGCGAGTTGTATGCACCCATGGAAGAGATAACGTCGACAAATTCATGTAAGTCAACAATTAGACGATAAACTTATGAACTCGCCTTGTCAAGGAATTCCTCTTTGAATGTTTCAATGAATTCCTCAAATGAAATAGGTCAAATCAGCATTCGTCTTCATCTGATGTTAGAAAAATGCAATGTGTTATCATGACTGCATCACTCGGCAAGCAGCTTCACAATTCAAGATGAATCACTGGAAACATTCGCAGCATCTTACAGGAAATGGTCAGGGATCACAATATCTGACTTCAATTACAAAGGGAACATCTTTTTAAGATATTTTTTATTTCTCTGTTACAGAAAGACGTTAGGTTTACACGACTTTCAAGTTGGTGATGATAACGAAGACGAGCCAGACTACGAAGCGTTCGATGAGGCATTCGTATGCCAGATAACACACAGGGCAGCGTCCATGTTAGGTAGGAGTATTTTCCTATGTTCATGTTCATTTTAATGTTCATGTTAATTCTCCCTTTTAATGTTCTATCATCTTTATATTCAACTCACATAGAATAACAACCAAAGGACAACTTAAATACAGACACGCAATGCTCATCGGGAAGGCTGGTACCTTTGAAAACCAATAGCTTACACACAACCAACTTGTACTTCATCTTCAGCCCTCATTTCACTGTGTTCTTTCCTTATTTGTTATTCACAATCCATATAGAAGTGGATTTGCAATTTAAAATTGGTTTTGAACAAAAGGTATATTTCCAGTAGTTAAAAGTAACAGAGAGATCAATAAAAAAATCTGTCCATCTGTAGCTATGAACATTTAGACGTTTCGTCAATTTGGGCAGCAAAGTTGAGAGTGGATTTCAATTCAGTTATTTTCCAACTTCCCTTGATTGCTTTTAGGTTCTCATATTCCTTTCAAGCACAATAAGTCAGGAAAAAACAAGCCACTTATAATTCCCTGCAGTGGATGAACGATGATTGTGATAATAAAGTGATCAATATCATCCAGCATGTGGGTGTCCTTGTCAACGATAGTTAAAGTCATCCCACTCTAAACATCTGCAAAATAGTTCTCCCGTGTATTCAAGATGCCGAGGAGGAGGGAAACATAAGTCGTCGCCGATTTGTTTTTCAAAAACGCCTCGTGTGTTCAGCGCATTCGCCCCGCAGCGCGGCGGGTATTACACCCATCAAAAGACAAACACACCTTAAAGAGTAGCACGCTCTTTTGCAGTTAAAATTCCATTGGACGTCAACGACTCCTCGTAAAAATCTAATCGTTTCTGAATGCCTACCTTTCCACAAAAAAAGCACTCTGAAAAAAAATCATTGGAGATAAATCATCTTGAGTTTCCAATGCCATGGAGGAGTGTGTATTTTGAGGCTGGGAGGGTCAGTAGGGGGCCTTAGTCCACGGTAGGATCTGGCGCCTACGCGGTGCGGGAGGAGGATCGCTTGGAGACCGCCAAGAACGCCCGGAATGTCGCTCAAGATGCCCAGTACTGTGAAGTTACATACACCCCACTGGCAAGGCACGAGCCACAGACAATTTGGTAGGCGTACACTTGAACTTCGCCCCATCTAAAGGCGCTATTAAATAAGACGTAGAACGTCATCTTGGCGGGAGCTCTTTGAAACAATTTGAAACGAGTGGACTTTTTGAGGTCATAATTTGTTTCAAGACTCAAATTTCAGTGAATAACTTTTTTATCGTTACAAGTTGAAAACCTGCTATTTCTGTGAATGTACCATGTAGCCTACAGGTTTTAATGATGTAACAAATATCTCCTAAAGTATATTGCTGCGAAAAAAATATTGACGAGGACACGACGAGCACAATCCCAACGTCTCTAGACAAATCAAGTGTCAAATAACTTAAGACTTAAAACTGAAAACGCAGAAAACAAAAACTGGTCCTTCTGAAAATATTCAGAAAGTTAAACATTTGTCTCGACGAATGCAAAGTTGGAATGATCTTTCACCCTTAAGAAGATCGTCCACTTTGATACATATGTACATGCCTCCAATATTCCAGAGGCTTTTGCCTGGCCAAGTATCCCGCAACCTGATACTGACCCGTACAAGACGAAGGGGTGGATATTAAAATGTGTAGATTTGATTGAACAAAGACTCAATCCCCAATCGTTGCTAAACCCCCGCCAATCCAGCCATTTAAAAAAGAGACAGCAAAGAATCATACTTGTGCATTTCCAGCCTCCAATGACGTCATCGCGGGATAATTTCTCCCTGCGACTCTTTACATTTCAGATCATATCCGCGACTATAAATCCTGAATGTCTATTCTAGAGCCTCTAATATTTGATCTCTGTATCGATTTAGTACAGGGTCTGCGAAAAAAAGGACCTGAATTTGGGGCAGGAAGTAATTGACCTATATTCAGGAGATTTTTCTGAATGGCTGGCCTCATTCTTGCGTTTGGGGTTTTCACAGTGTTACGGAGCTATAATCTTCCTGTTAAACCCATAGCCCGGTATATCCTCACGCAAACACCGCTGCTCATAGAGACCAGTTGGCACTTTGCCCGCCATTAGCGGATTGAACTTTTTCATTCAAGTGAAGACGCCGAAGGGGAACATTTCAATATTAGTGTCAAGCAGTACCGCTTTGGTTCGCAACACTCTGTATGTAGCGTGTGTGCTAAACCGGTATTCAATCGCAGTCTGAAGGCGCCAAACGCCGGTAAAAAGGCGGGAAAACAGAACGTGACTTTGACATCGTGGCGGGGGAAGCTAGTGGCTGCGTGCATGACCGTGCATATGATTCAGACCTCAGAATGCCCATCCTACAGTGAAACTTTATCGTGAAGTGTTAGCTGGATTGGATGCATATTAAATTTGCAAGGTTACATCTAATCTTGTTGTTTATCGCTGCAATCCACCGATACTTTCATCACTGAGTCTTTAAGCAGAACGCTTTTCACGGGAATTACCTCAGTATCTATGGCACTCATCTATGCAATTTTCATACGTTTCATAGGTTTCTGTAGGTTGTTAGAGTATATTTAATCGCAGGGGGGAAAGACACTTATTTGGTCTTTCAGAATGAAAAAAAAAATGACTGAATTTTTTTTTGTTTTAATTAAAATTTCTAAATCCCTACCTTTGGACAACCGAGAATCCACTCATTATATAGTAGGCTATGTCTTCTTCTCTAACAAGTTCTATTCAAACCACAAGAGGGCGCTGCAAATAAACATAACATCAATTGTTAAATTCATTATAAACTTTGTGTCTACCTAGTACCTATGGGGCCCAAAGTAATTATAAACTTTGTATCAAACTGTATGGCCCAAATGCCCTAAAGAACATATCGATGACGGAATACTCTTTAAGGGGGTTTGTCGAAATCTTACTTTTGTCTTCGGCTTCAGATGCATCTTTTATTAAAAGCCCCTCTTCTGAAAAGCCACTCAGCTGTCATTAGGTAGCCTACCGCCCCAAACTCTGAATCAGGTGAAGCAGGTTACAGATAACGATCGCCAATACGACCCTCTATCGCCGTGGTAGCGACAGGTGTAGAGAATGAGAAAGTGGGCTACGATATTAAAAGATTAATTCAATTAGACACTTGGATATGACCTACAGGATTCTACTACCAATCGAAAGCAAAGTTTATTTTATCTTGTAAGGATGAGCGTATATTGTGGATAGTAAGATGCGGGAAAAGTTCACTGATGTCGACGTCCTTCGAGGTTTTGTGTAAATTTGCACTGTATACTTGTGTTGATATACCAAGTGGGTACCAACTTTTTCCTTAAAATGTAAACTCTGCATGGCTGACAATCTTTAAAGGCAAAATACAATATTTGGTTTTGCAGTAATTTTCAGAAATGGATGGATTTTGGGGTTAGTATTTTATAGCAAATATTAACACACTGACCTGTTTAAAGTTTTGTGTTCATAGATGCTGGGTAAACCAAGAAAAAATGTTGTTCTTGAAGTCTGGTTCCCTGACCCTGCTTCAGGCGAAACGGAACAATTTATAAACGTCTGGAAATTGTCAGGTCAGGAAACCAGACTAGTTGGCTTGCACCCGTTCACGGATGTGTAATTGATTGTAAAGCAAATGTGGACTAACTAAATTTGGTAAATTGGCGGCAGTATTTGAAGAAGGAAAAAAGTCACTTTGGCAGACCATCGTTGGAAATTGATGCAAAACTTCCCCTTTTCCAAGTTGGAAAAGACAGCACACCAGGTGCCATGATTCCACAGGATGCTTGAGACTATTATTCACTTACAGTCAAGTAAGGTATTTCATAATAGCTTGGTATAGTTTTGTTTGTTGATGTTTGCAAATGTTGTATATTACCTTTAAGTTACACCAAGCAACACCAGGGTTTTGCGTATTTTGATTTGATGCAAGTTAAATTTCGCTGAACTTACAGAAAACTTCAGCGTTATATTGAAACATTTCCAGAGAAACTACTCATCAGTCAATATTTGCATTCAAAAATGAAGCATGGTAATTCTTTTCCACTCGGGTGAAGGACGGCTATAAATATACGAAGCACCGATTCATGACAAGACACGCACGCATGATAGCCTCATGCATGTTCGCTGCGATTATTAGCGGCGGATAAATGGATCGTTTTGTCATTAACGAGATTTCCAGCAGGTGGTGGAGCCATCACACCATTAAAGATGGCCTGATTCGGCTAATTGCAAAAAATGAAATGAATATGTTATGATGGATTAGTGCGAGTATGTAGGCTCTTTTTGCTCTGTGTATCACATCATCGCAGTGTTTGTCCAACTGTGACTTATCACAATGCTCGATATCATAATCAGAAGGCAGAAGGCAAGAAAATAGGGGATTCATGTAAATATGCAAAGTGTGCGGTGACTTTTGTTAATAAAATTTGAATGTGTTGTTAGCTCTTGTAAAGGTTTCGGATCAAAACTGGAAAATATGAACTAAATCGAATGATATTGTATTAAAAAAAGGCAGAGCTACCACCAAATTACTGCAAGAAATAACAACATGACCGATACAACTAATATCCAGCTGTATCTTCAAATTAAAGTAGAGGGAACACAATATTTAAAAAAGAAACACACAAACGTTAAACTCACACGGGCCGAACTTAAGTAGCTTCATTTTAAGATATTCTGTTTGTGTCTTGTAGGTTTGGAATACTGGAAACTCATGGACAGTTTCGGGGAGGAGTTTTTCTGTCTGTGTTTCGAGCAGTACGGCGCTGTCATAGGGTCCCTCGGGGGTACGATGGCGGATTTCTACGGCAACATTGACGGCTTCTACGAGCACATCTTAGCACAAGGGGTTATCAATGAGGAACATGTAAAGGTAAAAAAATACCTTGAAAGTACACGAGAAAGTTTATTAGCCTTATTGGGTAGTACGATCTTTGCTCATTGTGGTAGCCTATTTTTTTCAATGTTGTAAAGTTCCACAGAATACCACTTTCACATGAAGGAGAACCATGCTCGAGTTTCCACACCAATATTTCGAAATTTAGACGAAATTGTAGAACAACATACCATCAGAAAAAACAAACCTTGTTTTACTGACTTGCGTCCTATTTCGATAAAGTTAGTGCACTTGCGGACATCATTCAAACATTACTACCCTTAATGTCTGAGTATATGTACATTTGTACGACTTAAAACCATTTGATTTTCTTCCCACATTTGGCCTTAAAGGTACACACCCCATCCTACAGATGTTCATTACAATCAGACGGCAAGCTACTCATTCACTTCTACTCCAAGAGTCACAGCTTGGAGTTAAGCATGATGGGACAGATCAGGATGGCATCTATCTTGCTCTTCAATACCTTCGTGGAGGTAGAACTGGTCAAGCAGAGAGGTCACGGCTGCGACCATTGCGTCTATGCCGTCCAACCACTACTTGAAGATCAGAAGAACGGTACCAAGAATCTGCAGAATGGTGCGGTGAATCAAGCCACTTCCCCGGCTCAGCTGGCCTCTAAGATCAGCGTCTCTGTCTTCTGCGCTGCCTTCCCCTTCCATATCATGTTCAACCGAAACCTGACCATCCTCCAGGTCGGAGACACGGTCATGCGGATGTTTTCCTCACGTGCCTCGAGCAATGGACTCAACTTTAACTCGTACTTTAAGGTGCTGTCACCTGACATTCGGCCCGTGACCTTTGACCGGGTCTTGAGACACATCAACAAGTCCTTCGTACTGCAGTCCACGGGGATTGGGACAGCTAAATCAAAAGACGGAACATCTCAGGTAAGATTAATTGACCACTCCCGTTTACAAAGCCACAACTTTTGAGTTTGGAAATAGATGATTAAAAGACAGCAATCTACCGTAAAAGTAAAGCTGTGAACTTTTCAAACGGCACACTGCAGAGCCATATCCCTTGTCAGTAATGCGTCTCACAGACTTCACTCTCAGATAGAATTAGATTGGAACATTGACGATCTTGTCTGTTAGGCCTGACTGTTAGAGGAAGATCTGAGCCTAATAAGGTAATCTTTTATCAGTCGACACCAGATAATTGCGGGCGTTTTTGCCTTCTGAGGGGATTGCAGCACAGCATGCTGACAGAGGACAACCGAACATTCAAGACAACATTCGAGACTGCGAGTATTCGCAGCCAAATAATGTTTGATGTTGTGCTGACGATTACTCGGTGTATCGTTGATAATATGTCCTTTACAGTAATGAAAGGCATAACTTTAATTAAATTACAATTAATAATACATCTTAGACTCATTACAGACAGAAATGATAAAGGTTTCGCACAATTACAAGTGTGTAATGAATCCAAAGCTTTAATTAATTTTACAAGTCGTTTCATGACCGTTTTTATTTTGGAACAATTAAAAATGATAAACCGGTTCCAATATTACACAATTTGGCAATCGTTGTATGATCCCTGCCGTTAATAATACGCCCAGTACTGCTCTAAGATAGAGCTTACACGTCACATATATTTACAATATTGTTCTGATGACTTGTTTGTCTAGAAATGACTTTAACCATAACCCCAAACGCGTATTGTTTCAACTCTTTAGGCTTTGTTAAATTGGGGTGTCAGCCAAATGAACTTAGGTGGGACGCGATGTCAGTCCTGGTTCCCTCGTTGCTGATTACCAAATGGGGCTGAAGAATTACCATTGCCCCGCTGAGCTTGAACTGTGAGGCGTCTGGGTTGATATGGAACGACCAGGAGACAGGTGTGGATGATTGAATTGCAAAGCACGGGCAAAGTAGGCCTTCAAGTTCAGCTGAAGAATGAGCAGATTAGCACACGCTTTACCAGATTGTGCCGTCAAGTCAAGGGTATTATGTGTGACTTGGCTTGGCACTGTGAACCGTGAACGAACTCTGAGTGTACTGATACAGCAAAGGATAGATCTCTAGCTCTATGGTGACAACCAATCAATACAGCGACCCAGTGAACTTGACTAGCTCTTCCCCAGCTCTGGGAAACCCAAACTCAGTGCAAAAAGTGTGCCGAAATCTGTCATAACGAATGCCACAGCCATGCACATCCAATGTTACGTTTGGTAGATATTTACTGACCGATAGTCTTGAATGCCGTACGGTGGTGCTAAGACGGGTTCTCTATTTCTGCAAAAGTTGCCTAAAATGGTTATAAGGATTAAACGAGCTAATTTTAGCAAAAACAGAAACTTGTGAACGTTTCGGCTTAGTCACATGTTCCTGTTTGGAAAGATTACGCCAACCTATCCTTTTTGGTACCAAATTTGTGAGGGTCGTTATATACAGTAATAGTACAAGAAATTCCCAAATTCGCAAGACTTATTATAGCAAACCATGCGATAGATATGTTCTTTGTGCTTTCAAGGTCTTCACAACAACATTGGTTATGCTTCATTTGTGGGATATATACCATTCCAACGGTTAGGTTTTCAAATATCGCAGACGTCAGAGAATTTCATTTAGCGTGGTATATCAGACCGAGACACAGTGTGAAATCAGACAGGAGTCGGCAGGTGCAGTAAGCCGTGTAAACCAATCTGGTCGAAATATAGTGCGCCAAAAGCATCTCCAAATTGTGCATCACGTAACCATACACGCTATCAAGGGGGAAGAGTAACAATCGATAGATGATTAAAGAAACACACCTTGTCTTAGCTACGAAAATATTCTGTTTACTCTATTTTTTTTAGTAAATTATATTTTCAGGGACGGGGGAAGAATTCAGGTATTACCACCCTTCTTTGACATCACAGTTGATTAAGTAATTTAATTAACTTTATTGCTGCTGTTTAAGTGATGCGGCAATTTTACCTGAGATACATAAAAAAGGCAAAAATTTATATTTTAATATTGGCAGGGTATTAATAACGCTTTATTACGTATAACCAGGTCCCCCCTTGTACTTCTAATAAACTCAGGGAGAGAGCATTTATGGTAGCTGGTCCTCAGCTTTGGACCCAGTTACCTAGTCACATTAGATGCCAAGAAACACTGGGGAGTTTAAAACGGGAGGTCAAAACCTTTTTATTTCAGAAGGCTTTTTATGTGTAATTGTGCATGTGGTGATTTTTAATGGTTCATTCGAAATTTAGATGTTAAGCCTGTAAATTTTGATTGTATAATGGTTTTACTCAATAATGGTATAGTATTGTAGTTTTGGTTAAAATAGTACGGTTTTATCCTTCAAGTAATTTTTATTGTAATGCGCATTAGAACATATGTTTATGCAATTCGCGCAATATAACTGTCATTATTATTTATATTATTATTATAATTATTATTAACCACAACCAAAAATAAGCTACACAATGCCTGCCAACAGAGGGGGTTATATTGCTGAGAATTGTCGATTAAAAAAGAAAAGACAACTTTCGAAAAGTGTTCAGAATCCAATCGTATACGACCAATCAGGTTTTCGAGCGTTAAAATCCAGGAATATGTTTGTTTACTACGCAGAATTCCTGGAACAGAGAGATAAAGTAGATCACCTGTTCTAGCTTGCCTACATTTTCATTAAACTCTAAAAGAGACGCTCTCGCATGGCAAATTTATAGCGTTGACAGGGACTGGCGACTGGAAGCTAAGTGGCCATGGACACGGTCACCCAAGCGCAAGTTATACCAAGTGCCTCCTGCCATATCGCGTATTGCCTTGCGTCCATCGCCTCAGGCCTGATATCACAACTCATTACCAAGGCCAAACGATAAACCAACTGTCCTCTCCAGGGATATCACATAGGCTTTACATTATAGATATCCCTGACTCTAACTGGCTGGCTGCAGATTTTGAAAAGCAATTGCTTCCAGTTGACAGAAAGCTAGGTACTAGTTGACGGAATATAGGGACCTATGCGCTGTGCATAGAAGTGCAGTTAAAAAAAAGGCAACCCTAGTTAGCCCTAATGGCGTCAATGTAAATTATAATGTACTAAATCATATAGAAAAAGAATCACCGGTACTACTTAACACAAGCTTAAATATCACTCACTACCTTACTCAATGTGGACCTAAAAACCCAAACCGTTCATCGGCGACCTTAATCTGAATGTAATTCAAATCATTATGATTTTTCCACCGGGTAGAAAGTGGGTTAATGAATCCGAAAGTCTCTGATATGGGACAGAGATGATAGATGCTTGTCGTTCGCTTCGCTGTCTTAACATCACGAGTTCATGATTAGGCATGGGTTGTGCATGTAAGGTTTAGTGTGCGAGAACTCATGTTTATCACGATGCAGTATTTAATGATAGAGTTACCAAAGTGTTCTGCTCGAGGCTTATACCTTTATGTGGGAACTATTTGCATTGAAAACAAAATAACCTTAAGAGTACAGTAATATTATAACATCGCAAGAGATATCATTACAATTGCGATAATAATAAGAAACAGAACACATTTCCTGTGTAAATTCTGTATCACCAACAGGCTTTCAAGGGTATTACAATGATTGCATTCACGGTGCTTCCTGTGTAAACTATTCAGAATAGGGAATAACACGGGGCTGAATTTTTACATTCATCCTTGAGTAGCCTTTGTAGAGAACGTTTGTCAAAAAAAATATAGCGTCCTTGGCAATCACTTACGGTTGCTTCGTTCATTATTGATTCAAACTACACATTTGTCGGATTAAACCCAAAGTAAGACTTCGTTTCATATTATCACTTTGAAATAAAAAAAATAACTTGAAACTTCACAGTCTTAATATCACGATTTTTTTGTATAGATAAACATGGGAAATTGCTTTTGAAAGTGAAATTATGAGAAATTATCCAAGACGGCCCAATTGCAGATATTATCTAATGAAATACACCTTCCTGAAACCATTTTGGTGACGTGCGATAGCTTCCCAATCTGATGGAACTAGGCCAATTGAATTTCTATTTACTCGGCGGAATACCAAAGCACAAGTATTTTCCGCTGTCACGCCAGAAGGCAGGGGGAAAATCAGTATAGATAGCGTGATGTCAGTGGAGTTATATGACATCTGAAGAGTGACTACTTGAATTTGATTTGTCTGTGCAGCCGAAAATATTCGCCGAAGAATTGGAGGAATTTTCTAGTGATGTGCCCAGGTACGCCGTATGCGTAAGGCCAAGAATGAAGTCCTCGGCGGGACTATCAGCATCCGGCTGTCTTCTTGCTTCAATATACAATTCAACTTTGACTTCATAGTCATTCGTCGAGCTTCCATAGCGATGATTCACCAGTTCGCATCTCATCCATGTTAAAGTACAATCCAAAAAAGTTGACAAAACCTTTTACAGGTCATCCCGATCAATGCAACACCAGTGGTATTCAGATGATGCGCTTGCCGATGATCACAGACATTATGCCTTAACAGTTCATAGTGTTTAAAAGAGTAATACAAACAAGGCACACGAGAGTCAGGTTATCAAAAGAATGATCAAAATACTTGAAATCATCGCCTTTCATCCCTTTGTACTTCCCAAGTGTCCAATTTTTTGACTCTGCATTTCAATTCTTGATTCGAAACTTTACACAGATTAATTTGATGATTGTTGATAGTTGAAGGATATTTGTTTTCTTTAAAATAAACGGCACTGCGTTGTTACCGTAAAGACACTCGCAGGCTGATTCCTTAAATGTTTTGAGGAAAACATTCAGAATGTTCTTTAATGTATACTAGGTTTTAATGGCCACGAGGTGTAGCTAGAGAGTACGACGATTTTTCTCTAATTGGTTGACCGATGTCGTGAAACCTGAAAATCCAATCAAGTGAGCTAAAGTTAGGCGCAAACTGCTCTTAAAAGGCGTGTCAGAGCACTCTGACTATCTCCTGAGAGACTATTATCACGGTGCGCGACACGAACTTCAATAACATTACCCTAGAAACTTTTATTGATTTTGGCTAGTTCCTTTTAATATCGTGAGCAAACGGGGCATGGGACGCTCTTTCGGGCAAAGTATAGATCTAGTTCAGGGGACAATGGCAAGGCTGGTAAAAAATAGTAACAGCACTGTTTGCTTGTTGGTTTCATTGACAGGGGACGACGGTGAAAGGCCAGATGATTCATATTCCTGAGAGTGATACCATTTTGTTCCTGGGATCACCCAAGGTGGGCAACCTGGAGGAACTGACAGGCAGGGGATTATACCTGGCCGATATCCCCATCCACGACGCCACTAGAGACCTGATCCTGGTCGGCGAACAGAATAAAGCCCAGGACGGCCTCAAGAAACGAATGGACAAACTGAAAGCACGCATCCTGCAGGCCGGTAACCAACTGGAGGTGGAGAAGAGAAAGAACGTGGACCTGCTGAATCTGATCTTCCCTGCAGACGTAGCTGAGAAACTCTGGGCTGGGGAGGTGCTGGCACCAAGCAACATGGACCACGTGACCATGCTGTTCTCAGACATCGTGGGCTTTACCGCCATCTGCTCGAACTGTACGCCCTTCACTGTCATCGGCATGCTGAATAAACTCTACACGCAATTCGACGACTTCTGTGGAATCCTAGATATCTACAAGGTACAACGGCATACTTCAGTCCAGAATAAATAAATATATCAAATACACCGAAGGCAAAAATAGACAGCTGATCCCATAAGTTACAACAGACTCTAGGAATACTTTCATGTCTTGCGTGTTTGATATATCAGCATTCCTAGCATTTGCCCCTTTAATCCACGAGCAACCTCAGAAACCACTTTGACATTCACGTACTATTAACTTGTTTCTTTTTGGATAAACGTGTAACGATACCTGTTTCCAAACTACTGAATCTGCAAGGCAAAGCTTTTTAGAAAGCACATAAGAAGGCGTGTTTCATGGCATTTTCCATTGTCTAAAGCAGAATGCTTTAAAGATAAAACCTCAACTCTTGAAGGCAAAAGTCACATTCCAAAAGGTAATAGTATGTCAAGCTAATAGTATGTCAAGCATGCATAACCTTAGGACTTGGACCGCATTGTGGAACTAGTTAATTCACCTGCCCCGGTTTTCTCCACACCTGAAGACTGTTCTCACGAAAACAGATAATTATCTAGCGGTTAAATGCTGGGGGGGGGGGGGGTGGTTATCAAAATCAGTAATCCCATAACCGTACATTCCCATGGGCGGACCTTACTGACAAAAATCACACCCCTACAATTCCCAAGAAATGTCGTAGAATGCAGTCACAGAAATGATAATGGCGATAATATTCCGGATGCAATGGTGTCTTCGGTCGCCAAAGAAACAAAAATTCATTTATTGGTTAATATTATCCCTGCCAGGGGGCTGAACCGTAGTTCGATATCAGTGACTCTGGATAGAGCCCAACCTGATAGCGAATCGGACCTGGTATAGTATATCAAGGCACACCTGTATCCATTAAATCGCGCGTCCGATTTGAGGCAGTAGGCGCATAGAAAGCGCAGGAACCTTACGCGGGAAATCCGATGGGGCTAAAGGCTCTGTCATTGATTTTCACTGCACGCTGGAAGGTAACTTGCCACCGAATCGTGTTACCACAGCTGTCTTGCCCCGAGCCGTTATAAAATACGCTGTAAATCCGTTCGCCCGTCTTCAGAAGATGGGTTAGATCTTGATATTCCTGCACAGGCTTCTTCTGGGGCTTTTTTCCTTTCTGAAAGTCGAAGGGATTTTCTTGCTGATATGACACGACTCCCGTCCTTATTGCATCGAGTGAAGTGTCACGACAGTCTTTCATTACACTCCATCTTGGCATTTCTTGGGGATTAGATTTTTCTTCGCGCGTGTTTACAAAAAGATTTCTCGAATGAATTCCGAATTACGGTCCAGAGTATAAGCAAAAACCCTGATTATTTCCATTCAAATTCGGGCTAAATAATAGGTCAAACATTATTTGATTGTTTGTCTAGATCTGGATGTATTATTAAATTTTACTAGTAAAATCGTGATTTTGAGATGTAAGGGTCAATTTTCTATGCAATATAGGTAAACCAAAACCTCAACCTTCAATTTAATTTTAGCAATCAAATTAAAATAGGATTGTTAGTAGTAGATTGTGTAGTTGTTCACCTTAAGAGTATCTTGAAGGACTGAGTTGCCTTTGACTACGGGCCCGTGTCCAGGAAATATAACGTGAAGAAACCACTTGCTGCTAACTCACAACAACTCCAACTTTATTTCGGCGGGTGTATATGAATACTCTACCGCGTATATGTGATTGTGAAAGCAGATGCTGAAAGCAAATTTGTACAAGTAATAGCTTAAAGCGCGTTGATCCCCAAGTTGTCACCAAAAATGCAAAAGCAAATTCAAGGCAGAGAGATAATTCAAGTCAGATCAAACAAAAACGATTTCTCTTCCTCGTAACTTTCCTACCAGGTTGAGACAATCGGAGATGCATACTGTGTGGCCGGTGGCCTTCATCGAACCTCATCTACGCATGCTCAGAGAGTTTCCAAAATGGCGCTGAAAATGATGGAGGCGGCACGGACTGTGATGTCCCATGACGGCAGCCCACTAAAGGTAGGGCCATATTTTGTCAAACATTAAAAGGAATATCTATTTTGTTAATTGTGAAGCACTTATGTTCGAATTAGGGTAAAACGCACATGTTTACCTATTTTACGTTTTCCTGCACCATTACTGCCACAGAAATAAAAAGACACAGAAAACCAGTCACTATAAATGTACTTTCTACTCAGCTCTAGTTAAATCTTATACCAAAAAAATATTTAAGGATGTCAGAGTTGGGCTCGGACTTATGACGTTCTGATAGAGTATGTTTTGCTTAATCGTTTCCTGTATATGTGACAAGACGGTAATACAAAACACACGATAAGAACATTTTACGTATAAATTGTGTACATCTATGCTAGACCCTCAATATCTTTTGCTACTACATATACCTTTATTTACGAGTGCAATCATTTTTTTGTATCCAAAGTCAGCCATTATTTTTCCAATCACCGAGAAAATGCTGACTCTGTAGTTAAACTGCAGAGTTCAGCCCTTCGGAAAAAAACTGCAGTCCTCGTCTGAGCATATGAATGTGATGAATCTGACTGCTCGTTCAGGATCATTACACGCCTGAATCCAGCATGAAATAAAATCTGAGCAGAAAACCGACACGGCATGCGACATTTCGTCTGTGCCCGTGTCTCCTCCAGTGGCAAGTAGCGTGAAGAGTAGCGGAAACATACCGCCCCTGCAGGCGACTTGGCTATTTAATTAGTGTATCATCCACAAGAATTACCCGTCAGATCTTTTCCGGTCTCGCGTCGTGCTTGATATCTCCAGTTGTCCGGTTAGAACAAAGTAAATGACTTATCGTTCGCGTCGAGTGTCTCTTGTTGCCAACTAAATGATGTGGAAATTACCGTGAAATTTGAGAAGCATTAAGTTAGTATGTTGTCGCTGATTACCCCGGGAACATGGAGCGACATGAACATATTTGATTGAATCGACGGAACAGGATTTCTTTCGCTAGCCTGATGCCTGATGTTTCTCAAGGCAGTAAATTGAACCTAAAGGGGAACTTGGCCATTTGGAATTAAAATAAGACATCTGCAGACTGCAGCCTGATGACGTTAGAGAGATTATTCTGCCATTATTCTAAGTAAGCACCGGAGAATATTGGAATATTTAATGGTAATTTACATAACAGGAATGGCTAAAAAAAAATGTCCCACATCACAATGGATAGATACTCTCTATATTCTACTTGGACAAATAAAACATCACAAAATGTTAATTCTCACTGTGGTTTCAATCCAATATTCAATGTTCCCGAAATACCCAATCCAGCAGAATTGACCTTGGTACATGTGACATTGAACTGATTTTGAAGGGATTGTGTTTTGATTGCTTTCAGATGAGGATAGGCCTACACACGGGAGCGATCGTAGCAGGCATCGTGGGCAAACAGATGCCTCGCTACTGTCTCTTCGGTAGTAACGTCACGCTAGCTAACAAGTTCGAGTCTCACAGCGAACCACTAAGAATAAACCTCAGTCCAACAACACATGAGTAAGTATTATCAAACAGGAATCAATCTTATCATTTCAACGCGAACATGCAATCTTCTTCCTTATTTTTTTTTAATTTTATTTATTTAATTTTGAGCAGAAAATGTTCAAGTTACATTTAAACATATCACAAGTGATCTGAACCCTCTGATGTCTTCAGCACGACCGACATGCCAATATACGGGAAACATGACTTTATTTCATTAGCCTACCATGAATTCATTACTTTTATCCGCATCAATAATTCCTAGGTACACATTGTAGAATGTTACTATTGATATAAGTAGAAGTAGGCTACATTATGCTGATTACGAACGTCAGATGGGAGAAATCCTCTCAGCCGAATGATATTCGCAAATCAGGATGGATCTGAAGAACATCAAAATTACCCTAGATTCCAGATTAAGAAGACTTTCCAAGTGGGAAATTATATATATTGTACCAAAAACGGAGGGGGAGGGGGCAGAATATTTTGCAATTACATTTACGCAAACATCCCCCGGAGCCGAGCTTAAGTCACGATTTCTCCTTGTCTGGGTAATGGCGGCAAAATCCTCCGGCCACTATTTTGCAGTCTGCATACGACGAAAATTAACATAAAGGCGACTGATCTAGCTGTGAGAAACAAAACATTGAGATATTTTCCCGCGGCAATAATTTTTTCCCGCGGTTTGGTGATCCTTGCGAGTGTTCTTAATCACGCTGATAATCGCTGAGAGGCATGAAAGGAAACGAAGCAAGCCTGCGCAGCTGACCTTCTTTCACTCTTTGCTGATGACTACGGATTACAAGTGATATTTTGCGCGGAGGAATGTTTTCATTCAAGGAAGTGTACCAACAGCAGTGGGTAAATTGAGGCGCCTATGGCACGTGAAGTAACAGGATTAAGTCACCACAGGCGCTGTATATTATACCGGATGCTTTGAAAACTAATAGTATAGGCCTACTATGGAATGAATGGAAGACATCTTAATGTGATCTAAAAAAAACCCTCTTTTTAATAGTGAACAGTTAACTTACAAATTCTGAAGCTGCCATTATAGTAGCACTGTTTCTTGATGTTCATGTGGTGCTTTTTAATCCACAGCTAACATGGACATGATGTGGTAAATCTACAAAATGCGAAAGAAAAAGGTTTAATGTATAATATACATCTGGTGTTGAATTGCTTCTCTTTTTTCAGACTTCTTGAGAAGTCCGGGAGGTTTTCTTTCACGCCCCGACCACGCGAGGCTCTCCCAGCCGGGTTTCCTGAGAGCATCCCCGGTACATGCTACTTCCTAGACGGCTACGAGCCCGATCCGGACAACGAGGAAGACCAAAAACTCTGGTAGAAATATCAAACACCAGACAACTCCCAGAGATAATCCGGCAAAGGTAGAGGCTATCCGGTTCGTAAATGTGACGTCATTTTAAATTAAACCACGCCCACTACACACAAAGTAGCACTGAAAATCACTGGAACCATTGGAACCGGAAATAGTGCAAAGTGCCGTGTTTATCCAATGGGCGCAAGTAACACGCTCGATCGCGCGTTCTTAAAGTTGAGGTACGCGCGCATTTTGGTAATCCTATTGGTCGAAGGAGCGTTGAGTGCGTGCATAGCACCTTGCATGGGAAAATTGCAATACAAATATACAGTTTCTTTGGGCGGTTAGGCATGGTGTTAACTTTGTCATGGTGTTAAATCAGTCTTGGTTGTTAATGCGCATGCTTTAATACAAAAAATATTAACATGACAGACAAATTTAAACTTAAACTTTGCTCCTTTGCAACGGAATGCGGCAATGCAACAAACTTGACTGATTTAATACAGCAAAGATGTTAATACTATTACTAGGGTGGTATTTCCCCTTGAGTATATACCTTTAATACAGTCATGTAGACTTTACAGTATAAAACTGACCTTACTTTATCTGTAAATAGCTTTTGAATGTCAATAGAGACCTCAAGATGCGGTGGTTATTCATATGATATATATATATGACTTCTTTAAATAAAGTAATCTTGGACTTCATGAATTATTTATGATGCGAACGGACGGACAATATCGAGGACTGGACGGAAATCACGATGCAGGTCATGCACGGAGACTTTTAATGTCAATTCAGGGAGCAAGGCGGCACACCACACATTTTCTGCGTCTGATTTATTAATAAATAAAAATACCATCATACCGGGAATATGACGAGTGAAAACAGGTGCTTATAGGACTGAGTAAAAGCAACTCTGAAAGTAGAAAGTACACTGCCCTGTGATAAACATGTGATAAGGTAAAACAAAGGCCTAAATAACAAACCCAGACTTCTATCTCCAAACATTGGATGTATTGATCAATCACACTATTTATAGCAAGGAATTACCAAAAAAATGCTCCTACTTATAATTGTTTGCATTACCGAATTGGGCAAAAAGGAAAACCATAAGTACACACAAACCTTCCTTAATGGCTGCCATTCATTTATCATCCATGGACAATATTTATAAACCTTAGTCCCTTTTTCCGTGACCCATAATTGTGATGACGCAGAGGAGATAATTCGCTTCCATCCCCAATCCTCATCAATTAGGTCAGTCTGTCAGCGGACAAGTAAACCGCGGTTTGTCTGGATGAAACAGGCAGCATCACGGACAGCCATGCCTTCGCTTTTATTATTTTGGATGCGGTCTGATAACTGATTTTGATTTCATTTTTACATATTTTTCTGACGTCAAGTCATTGCAGCGACTTAAAGTGACGCCCGAGTGATTCATCTTAATAAAAAAAGCCTTCACTCACTGACTTTGGTTTTATGGAGGAAAGATCAAGTTCATTATACACAGCTGGATCTCATCGTTTCCAGGTGAACTGCTACGTTACAACCTTGCCAAGATTCCCATTATGTCAGTAGATTTAATAACGGTTTTTCTTTTGAGGCAATGCAAGCGTATATACCATAAGGCGGTGGATATGAAAAATGTTGGTGAGTTCATGTTCCACAAAGAAAAACGAGAAGTGGACAGACAAATTAAGAGGACTTGTTCTTAAGGAAGACAAACAGATGGTCATAGACGAACGGACAGAGACGAGACTGACGGACAGACTGAGTTCAAACATCAAGGGACAGTCGATTTGGTATCAAAAAAGATACCACTGTTTATCATTAATCTGAAAATTTGTGAGATCATAAAACTGGTATGGTCTTGTTTGAAACCTTAACCAAGACAAGCAGTTGGATATTTGAAGGAAAAAAACATGCGTTGACTTGACCTTGATAACGACTGAGCAAAAGACAGACTTGTTTTGGAAGACATTGATGAACAGGTTAATGCTTGAGGCTAAAACATGGTTAATGAGGAGGAAACCATTGTTTATCTTTAATTTGGGCTGAAATGTGAGTTATTATATTAATTTTGTCATGTTCAATTTTGAGTTTGAATCACGTTTTTGCCCTTAATGCATGGAAAGATTAGCGATCAAAACGGGGGGGGGGGATATTCATATCGTCTCCCTTGCGATCGTCTAGCGGGAAGACGACAAATTTGGCTGGATTAACTGAACGTGCTCGGTATTAGTGAAAAGGTCGGTAAAATCATTTCATAAACAACTTTTTTTTGAAAAACCTTTTTACAAGTTGCCATTGAACATTGATTTGATCGACATTCATAAAAAAAAAGAGAAATCTGTAGTAAATATATTGTACTCGCTTTCATTTCTTCTTTTCTTTTACACTGTTGGCTGAGCTTAATTCATATTTTTTATGAGCTTTGACACCCCGTAAGGGTCACTACTTATATCAGCAGATTCAATTATTCAAGGAAAAAGAAAATAACACATTCAGTTATATTCTAAAGGAATTATACAAAATATTTTGGTTATGCCGTGAATTGGATATAATTACACGTATTGGTATTATTATACGATACTATATGTACAAAGTTCAAAAGGAAAAGGTGGTAGTAGCCACAAATGTTTGTTAGAGTATTGTAGAAGAAAACTGAGAAATATTGTAAAGCGCATTGAACGTTTCATGTTTGTATGATTGGAAAATTTACTATTTGAGGGACCAAATATGTAGAAGACTGACTGACGGAACTAGTGATCTAGATAAATTTGGTAGGTTTCGGGTTTAAAAATTAGTAAACAAGTTTCTTAGTTTATTTATGTTTCATTTTTTTTAATTTTTTTTTTTTAACCTCGCTACCTCCTTGTCTATCCGTTGAATTTCAACTGCGATTTTTGAAAGTACATATCGGAAATACTAACACTGATCTTATTTTTTCAAAGCTTGATAATAATGTTTTTTTTTAGTTGTTTCTTTCTTTATCATTCAAACTATTAGCCGTGACACTATTACGGTAAGAGTGACATGTACATTAGCATTTCAACCATTTTTCTTTGAAATTGAATTGCGCAAATAACGAGACTGATCATACGTTGTTACCTATTTGTATTGCTGGTATGCCTTCGGTTTATCAAGCAATTATTATTAGTCAATGTAGAACATGAATGGTTCGTTCGCTGTTATATAAAACAAAAAAACCTTTTGTCGAGCTGAAAGAGTTGGTACTAGCCAAAGTATTAATTGTATGGATTTAATGTTCCGTTGGCTGATAATAAGTGTACTCAACAAATATATTCAGCTCGGAAATTCCTTAGTTTTACATTTGTATTCAATTAATTGCTGGCACGAGCAGGGCTTACTTTGACTTTCCTGGGTCAAAGTACATGTATAACCTTAATTTGGTAAACAATAACTGACAAAGAATACCACTTGAAGATGATAGCTTTTCTGTTGACAATGTAGGAGGTCTGAATAATATATGGCCTTAATTTGGTTATAACCGAGCTCAGTATTGCTATAATCGAGTCAGGAAACAAGACAAGAGTGGATTGAAAATAAGTTTCGAAGATTTCTAAGAATTTGTACAAATCAAGGCAGCTTTTCGAAAATTCTTTCTCCTGTGGTGTATTAAAACTTTAACATTTCAAATTGCCGCAGGGCATATAGCATTTCATATGCCGGTTGGACAACTACTCAATTAAAATAATGTACAATATATAATGTTAGATATGACATAGAAGTAAGCTATTACGATACTATACTGTATATAGCTAATGTATATTTGTAAAACACTGCGGAATATTTGGTGAAAGGGAATGACAAATACTTTGCAGAGGAGGACGTAGGTAGCCTATATATGGCTCGTGTGTATTGTAATATAATGTTATCAAACACGGGCTTTGAAAGTATGTTTTCCTTTGTATATTACATCTTCGCCTATGCAAAACAGTAACGAATGTTTGATGTGATATAAATGGAGTGGTGTTACATTTAGATTAAGAGCAGCGTTATCGGTTCCACTCGTATCGGTCCTATAGTATTCCAACTTTCAGCCTCATTGAGACGAGACTTAGAACAAGATCATCGAAACATTTGGACACTTTGATTTCAGGTTTCCTACTTATTTTACATTCAGATATAAAGTAAATTGTTAATATTTCTAGTGTGCACGACTCTTGACGCAATTGTGATTTTTCAAGTCTTTGCGGGATAACCTAAACATGATTCGACAACGTGACCTATGTACGTTCAAGAGACGTAACATTGACGCTGAAACTGGGTTAACTTTGTAACTTTATACCAACTGTACACCTCCGTCTTCCCCGTTGCAGAATTTGTGAGTTTTAAGTTGAATCACTAGAAAAGGTATTACATGTAGCGACTACGTTATATTTGTTTGCAGAGCAGTAGTAGACGGCTGTTTTCTGATGTTTTCGCGTTTAAATTTACCATTTGCTGAATAACAGGCGAGAAGATTTCAAAACCTCACGCTCTCAGTAAAATAGGTTCCTAAAGGTTTGATGAAAGATTATCCTCCCGAGTTTCAAAGTAGTTAGTATGTGATAGGTTTTATTTGGGGGCCGGTAAACAGAAAGAAAATAAATCCCGTTGCTTCGATATGTTTTAAAAACATTCCTAGCCACTGATTCTTCGTTCTACGACCGACTTACGAAATTGGAATCCATAAAGCCATTTTGAATCAAGATGTACCTGTTAGAATAATACTAAATGCCAGATAGTCCGTTGTTACACAATGACACTCGTTCATTACGATATTCATTACGATACTCATGTTTATGACTTACTATGGTCATTGCATACTTTGTAACAATCAGGGAAGCCATAAACAGGGTTCGGCAATCGAATATACTCTTGACATATCGTCTAACAAATAGAATTCAATTCACGTATCAGACAGAATATTTTCTGGCCTCTTTGGGCTCTAATATAAACGTGTAGTAATTGTAAGTTATATCCCCTACTATTTGCCCTCCACGGCATCATTACCTTTACGAATACAAGCTCAACGATGGCGATATTTATAAAGGCAAACCATCTGCCTCGTTGTGTAAATAGGCATCAATTAATGAATTTGTTAGATGGCCAAACACCTGAGAGATTTCATTATTACCGAAATTGGAACGTAGCCATTAGACTAGGGATTTCACAAAGTGTGAGTCC